GACAAACCAGACAAAAACATGTAATGGGGAAAGGATTCCCTGTTTAATAAATGGTGTTGGGAAAACTGGCTAGCCATGCGCAGAAAGCAGAAACTGGACCCCTTCCTGACACCTTACACTAAAATTAACTCCAGATGGATTGAAGACTTAAACATAAGACCTAACACCATAAAAACCCTAGAAGAAAATCTAGGCAAAACCATTCAGGACATAGGCGTAGCCAAGGACTTCATGACCAAAACACCAAAAGCATTGACAACAAAAGCCAAAATAGACAAATGGGACCTAATCAAACTACACAGCTTCTGCACAGCAAAAGAAACAGTCATTAGAGTGAATCGGCAACCAACAGAATGGGAAAAAATTTTTGCAGTTTATCAATCTGACAAAGGGCTGATATCCAGAATTTACAAAGAACTAAAACAGATTTACAAGAAAAACACAAACAAGCCCATTCAAAAGTGGGCAAAGGATATGAACATATACTTTACAAAAGAAGACATACATGAGGCCAACAAACAAATGAAAAAATGCTCATCATCACTGGTCATCAGAGAAATGCAAATCAAAACAACATTGAGATACCATCTCACGCCAGTTAGAATGGCGATCATTAAAAAATCTGGAGACAACAGATGCTGGAGAGGATGTGGAGAAAAAGGAACACTTTTACACTGTTTAGTTCTACCATTGTGGAAGACAGTGTGGCGATTCCTCAAGGACCTAGAAATAGAAATTCCATTTGACACAGCAATCCCATTACTGGGTATATATCCAAAGGATTATAAATTGTTCTACTGTAAGGACACGTGCACCCGAATGTTCATTGCAGCACTGTTTACAACAGCAAAGACCTGGAACCAACCCAAATGCCCATTGATGATAGACTGGACAGGGAAAATGTGGCATATATACACCATGGAATATTATGCAGCCATCAAAAACGATGAGTTTGTGTCCTTTGTAGGGACATGGATGAACCTGGAAACCATCAATCTCAGCAAAATGACACAAGAGCAGAATATTAAACACCACATGTTCTCATTCATAGGTGGGTGTTGAACAATGAGTACACATGGACAGAGGGAGGGGAGCACTACACACTGGGGTCTGTTGGGGGGAAATAGGGGAGGGACAGTGGGGAGTGGGGAGTTGGGGAGAGATAGCATGGGGAGAAATGCCAAATATGGGTGAAGGGGAGGAAGGCAGAAAATCACACTGCCATATGTGTACCTATGCAACAATCTTGCATGTCCTTCACATGTATGTACCCCAAAACCTAAAATGCAATAAAAAACAAAAAAGATTATGCCTATGACCTATGTGTGCTTCGTCAAAGAAATCTGAAAGGTTGCCTGTTACCTGTGCTTGTTTGTGAAATCAGCATTAAATGATTCAGCTGATAGCAGCATACATCATCTGATTAATCATTTAATCAGAGGGTCCATAACACTCAAGTTTTTAAAAATAAATTTGCATGAAGCCCAACAGGACAGCCATAGTAAGTCAAAAGAAATAAGTAAAAGGATGCTTAAATATTATAGATCATGATGTCAAACCTGACATTTTAAATTCTGCTTTTGTTTTATTCATCAAGCACTCAATTGGCTAGCTATCCTTTCATGAATTAAGTCAGGATTATTACAGAATATACATGTGTTAATCCATTTGAAATCAATATTTGAGAAAAAACTGTTTACAATCTATTGATCTAATTTTTCCAAAATGGCATTGCTGAGGAATTTCATTCTGATTTTGAACAAAAATAAATAACATCACTGAACCTGAATGTTTTAAGTATCTGAGGCAACAGATATTTCAAGCTTACTTCTTGCATGAAAACTATTAATCATCATGCAAATAAGTCAGTGCCTAACTGGGATATGATAATGAAGCTGACTGCTGTATTACTTGTCAGGCAGTTGCGTCACAGTTTATTCAAGACTTTTCACTCTATAGAACTCCAAAAAATTATAAAAATATAAAAACTTAAGGCTCCAACTCTTTTAGAGCATTCCATGTAGCATGAAAGAGACACTCATTAGTTCAGCAAGGATTTATTTGAGCACCAGCCATATCCAAGACACTGTTAAGGAGCTGGGATAGACCAAGTGTTCTAGTGGCTAGCTCCACACTGCACACGTAGCAGCATTACAGAATAATGCTGACTCAAGTTACTTTCTTTGTACAATATTCTTAGAACAAGCAGATATTTCTTCCTCAATAGAAGTAGAAAGTATACATTTTATCTATATAACACCACTGTTGGTTTGCACTTAAAATTTCCGCCAGTACACTTTTAACCTGTTTCTACTGTGCCAATAAAAGATATGAACTTCAGGAAATGAATTGTATGACTGACAACTTCTTGTGTGCAGATGGGTAAAAATAAAGATCAAAAGAGCTGTTATTCTAATATACTGAACACAAAAGTTAATATTGTTCAGTAAAACAAATTCTTACAATTCAAGATAACTCATTTGTTCTTTAGCTAATCTTATACTTAGGAATTATTACTAACGGCAGCTACAGTCATATGAGCAAATTCACAAAACAGGTATCTCCTTTAATTTCTTCTTGATTTATTGGTTGTTCAGAATTATTTTAAGTTCCACATATTTGTGAATTCTCCAATGGCCTCCTGTTGTTAATTTTGAGTTTTATAACACTGTGCTCAGAAAAAGTACTTGACATTATTTAAAACTTTTTTAGTTTGCTAAGATTTGTTTTGTGGCTTAACATATGATCTAACCTGAAGAATGTTCCATGCGTGCTTGAAAAGAATATGTTTTCTGCTACTGTTGAGTGGAATGTTCCATACATATATCTTAGATCTACCTGGTTTACACTGTTGTTCAAATCTGCTGTTTCTTTATTGACTTTTTGTCTAGACATTATGTCCATGGTTAAAAGTAGAGCAATGAAGTCTTCTACTATCATAATACTAGTGTCTATTTCTCCCTTTAGTTCGATAAACATTTGCTTTATATGTTCAGGTGCTCTAATGTAGAGTGGATATATATTTATAATAGTTATACTGTCTTGATGAATTGACCCATTTATCATTATATATCTTTGTACATAATGACAGTTTTTAACTTAAAGTCTATTTTTCTATCACTGTTCTCTTTTGATTACCATTCAGTGGAAGAAGTAAAATTGTCTCTTTTGGCAGATGACATTATCTTATATTGAGAAAACCCTAAAGACCTCACAAAAACTATTATAAATAATAAATAAATTTAGTAAATTTTCAGGATATGAAAATCAATATACAAAAATTAACAGCATTTTGATACATTAATAATGAACTATTCAAAAAAGAAATCAACAATTCCATTTACAGTGGCACCAAAAAATACTTGGAAATAAACTTAACCAAGTAGCTGAAAGATCTGTATACTGAAGATGACAAACCATTGATAAAAGAAGCTGCAGAAGACAAAGATAAACAAAAAGACATCCTATTTTCATGGATCAGAAGACTCACTCTTGTCAAAATTTCCATACTACCCCAGTCTCTATTACAATTCCAGGGGCAATTCTCACAAAAATAGAAAAAACATCCTAAAATTCATATGCAACCCTGAATAGTGAAAGCAATCTTCAGCAAAAAGTAATAACCAAGCTACTACTATAGCCTTGTAATCAAAGCTTTGCTTAAACAGCCATAATAATCACAATTAAAGGAATCATAGTATCTGATTTCAAAATATACTGCAAAGATGTAGTAATCAAAATAGCACAATGCTGACATAAAAAAATAGACATAGAGATCAATGGAATGGAATAGAGATCCCAGAATTAAATCCATTCATTTACAGCCAACTGATCTTCAACAAAGATGCCAAGAACACACAATGGGAAAAGGAAACTGTAGTCAACAAATGGTGCTAAAAAACTGGACATCCACATACTGAAGAATGAAACTAGAACTCATCTCATACAATATACAAAATCAACTCAAAATTTATTAAAGACTTAATACCTAAAACTATGAAATTATTAGCAAAAAAAAACATAGAGAAAAAGCTTCTTGACATAAATCTGGCCAAATATTTTTTAGAAATGATCCCAAACTCACAGGCAAATGGGTTATTTAGATATGACCCCAATATCACAGTCAAAAACAAACATACACAAATAAGATTGCATCAAACTAAAAACTTGCTGCACAGCAAGGAAAACAATCAACAGAGAGAAGAGAAAAACTATGGAATGGGAGAAAATATTTGCAAGCCATACAACTGATAAGGAGTTAACATCTAAAATACAAGGAACTCAAGCCACTCAGCAGCAAGGAAACAACTTGATTTAAAAATCAATAAAGGACCTGAATAGACATTTCTCAAAACAAGACATATAAATGTCCAATAAGTATATGACAAAATGCTCAACATCATTAATTACCAGAAAATTGCAATCAAAACACAATAAGATATCACCTCACACCTGTTATAATCATGAGTCTCAAAAATTACAAAAGACAAGTGTTGGTGAGGATGTGGGGAAAGGGGAACCCTTGTGCATTGTTGGGGGGAGTATAGATTGGTGCAGCTAGTATGGAATATAGCATGAGAGTCCTGCAAAAAATTAAAAGTAAAACTATCATATGATCTATTTTTTAGCATACATCTAAAGGATAAAAACATCAGTATGTTGGGGAGATATCTGCACTCCCATGTTTCTTGAAGCATTATTTACAGTAGTCAAAATATGAAACAAACCCGTGTCTGCTGACAGATGAAAGGATAAAGAAAAATGTGGTATATACAGTCAGTCCTCCATATTTGCAGATTCCTTATTCACAGATCAGATTCATTCAACACAAGAAAAAAATTTCAGGAAAAAAGCAATAAAAAATAATAATACAAAGAACAATAATTTGAATCTTAGAAACACAGTATAACAACTGTTTGCATAGCATTTATATTGTATTAGGTATTAATAATTAATCTAGAGATGATTTAAATAGTATGAGACAATGTATGCAGGTTATATGCAAATACTATGTTATTTTATATAGGACCTTAAACATCTGGAAATTTTGGTATCCATGGGGTTCCTAAAACCAATTACCTGCAGATATTAAGGGATGACTGTACACAATGGAATACTGTCCATTTAAGAAGGAAATTTAAAAAGGAAATACTTAAATTTGCCACAACATAGATGAACCTTGGGGAGATTATGCAAAGTGAAGTAAGTCAGGCTGAGGAAGACAAATACTGCATGATCTCATTTCTATGTCAAATCTAAACACATCAAACTCAGAAAGAGAGAGTAGAATTGGGGTAACAGGAGCTGGGAGGATGGAGATGTGAAGACATTGGTCACTGGGTACAAGTTTCAGGTAGGATGATTAAGTTCTGGAGATCTAATGTACTTTGTGGTCACTACAGTGAATAATACAGCATTATATGCTTGAAATTTGCTTAAAGACTGGCTCTTATATTTTGTCACCGTAAAACAAAAAATAGCTATGTGAGGAGATAGATATGTTAATAATCTTGATTACTATAATTATTTCGCATTGTGTACGTATATCAAAACATCATGTTGTACACTGTAAATATACACAATTTTTATTTATTAATTATACCTCAATAAAGCTGGGGAAAAAATCACTTAGGTATGTGTGGCAATATCTCTTTTTTAACATCAAAAGTAGATAGAGTACACTAAAGCAAGTATGTCTCCAAAAGATAAATTTAGCAAATAAAAAAGAGCAAGTTAAAATGAGATGCTAGAGCTCTTGGTTTCAAACAAAACACAACCAAAAATGAGTAAAAAGAAGAGGAAAGGGAAGGGGAGGGAAGGGGAGGGAGGGAAGGGGAGAGGAGGGGAGGTGAGGGGAGGAGAGAAGGTAGGGAAGGAGATAAGGGAGAAGGAGCTCTCTCCCCTCATCAACTAGAGGGTGATGAGCCAGATACCATCAAAGGGTATGAAAAGTGAAAATCAGTACCATTACTCTTCTTTCAGTGTTCCTGATCTTAAAGCACAGCCATTAATCCACTTCTTCAAGCTAGACATCTGGTACCCCTACTTGTGACATCCCTCTTCCTCCAAGTTTCTGGCTAAGTGTGAGCAAACGTTGTTACTTGAGTGATGAATGAGTATCTCAATGAGGTCATTAATAAGCATTTCAAGCAAAAGAGTTTGCTTATTTCTATTCACCAGGATCATTTTGTTCACATCCAAATTTTTTAGCATTCCAAAGACGTGGCCACAACTGCAGACGTTTATTAGAGTATTCTTTGAATTATTATAGAAACTCAGAACATTATTGCTAAATTGGACTTTTAACAATTTTCTAGTAGAGCTTCCTCATTATATGTGAGAGTTTTAGAAGATCTGCACAATGTTATCCAGGCAGGTGGTGTATGAGCAGAGATAAAGACTAGCCATTTTCACTCCCAGTCCAATGTTTATTTCCACAACTATGCTCTAATTTCTAGCTTTTATGCCTTCATTTTCATATTAGAAATCAGTAAGAAACTATAGTACCCAAAAGGGAAATATCTCTAAATATCTCTTAATTTTGTCACATCATTTAGATTTCTGCTTTAAATACTAAGATAAATGTGGCATTTTTTAGAAGGGTGGAAGGCAAACCCAGTTTTGTAAAAGATGAAGCCCTTTCATGCTCCATTTGCAATTTATGTTGTATGCCTTAAATGCAGGTGAATAAAGGATGGTACATGTTTCCCTTGTTACTTTTCTCAATAAAATTGAATATTAAAATATAATCAATAAAATTCTCTAGTTAAATCTAGTTGTCCATAATTCAATGTATAAAGATCCAAAGAAAGGTAAGTTTTGAGGAAGCGCTTGGGGAAGTGATATCTTGGGTAGAAAAGTACTATTGTTATCCAGTCTATTCCAACTGACTGTGCAATCTTGACTACCCACTTCCTCTGTAGATTTCAGTTTCCTCATCTGTACAATCAAAAGACTGATCTAAATCATGGGCTCTGAACAGAGGGTCGGTCAATGGACTTCCCATTAAGCCCTTTGATGTGTGTATGTGAGTGCACTTTTTTTCTGGGAAGAGGGTCCATAGCTTTTATCAGATTGTGAAAAGGGTCTGAGACACAAAACTGGTTAATTGACTATGTACTATTTTGAACTGAGGTCCCTCTTAACTTGTGAAACCTTACAAAGCTGTAAATAGAATTATAGTTTTAGATGAAAACCAGGAATTAAAATTATTATTATCCCTAATAAGATCATTTGAAAAGCATATTTCGTACAAAGGGGTACCCTCATAACCAACAATGCATTCAAGCATTGGCCGAAAAACTTCACTAGAAGCCCAGTCAGGATTTGCCATAATTAGCATCCATCACAACAGACAAGAGACATGTAACTATATGTAGTAAATCTAAATATATCACAGATATTTTTGTTCTACCTTTTTATTATCAATGTTTTAATGGCTATCAAGGTAAGACGGCTACCTAGGATCATGAAGTGGAAACAACTCAGAATAGTTTGCCAGCAAATAAAACTTCTTTCTCACAATTTTCAAGATATTCATGCAAAATCATTTTGATTGGAACTATTGGATAGCTGAATAGCACTGTTCTTATACTAAGCATATGATTATAAAACACCCAGAAATAAAAGTCATTCTGCTTACTCACTTATTTCCTTTCTTCCTACCCTCCTTAATTTAATAAATGTTTGTAAATTGTCCAGTATAAGTTGGAAACTCCCCTAGACACTTGTGAACTATCAGTGAAAAATGTAAATATATTTCACTCTCATGGTGCCTACATTCTAGAAGGGAAAAATAAAATAAACAACATACATTAAAGTAAGCATATTATTTATTGTATTTAAAGGTGATGAACACTTTGGCAAAAAGAAAAACAGAAAGAAAAAAAGACTCGGGAGACTGGCACACCAGAGGTGAGGAGGGCAACAATTTTACATAGGTTAGAGCAGGCCTCCTCAAAAATGTGTCAGGGCAAGGGTAGGCTTGACTTGTTCAAGAAATAGTAAGGAGGCCATTGTGGCAGGGAAAAAGCAAAAATTATTTTGCTGTTGTAGTGGTGACATTTGTAAAATTTCATCATTGACACCTCATATTGTATTAGTTCCATATTTAAAATGAAAGTTATAATATCTTTGGTAAAATCTTATTTGTGTCCTGTATTTGTCAAAAACATTCAGTCAAAATTCTTCTCAGAATTTTAAAACTTACCTCAAAAGTATGATCTCTGGTTGGTATGTATTTTAAGTCTCTCAGTTCCCACAAACATGTATTTGGTAATGAACTGTTATATAATATGCAAATATGCCATTTAATAAGAGATGATGTCACTATAAAGAAATCAAGTAAAAGAACTCTATTTTGGAAATTAAGAAATTAGGCACAAAGAGATTTGTTATTTCAATGAAGAGAAATTCCAAGACTTATAGTTAACATGAAAGCCCTCATTCTTTCTGAAATGTCACACTGTTCCTTTAGCATTTTAATAAATTGTTTGTTTCATTAGCTTTTTTCCAGAAATTGAAAAAATCATGATAATTGTACAATTTTCATGGCATTTATCTGGGTTAATGCCTGAAGAAAACAAGACCTATATAAACATAGCACTTTGTCACAAGGGGAGGGTCAGGTAGCCATTTCCCACAGTAAGCATCTTGCTCCTGCCTCCAGGCCTCACATGAAAATGAACCATGATCTCACCAGCTTGTAAATGTAAGACAAAGTGTACATAGCCATACCTTGCCCAAGTGGTCCTTTCTGACAAAGCCAGTGGCTGCTGCAATGTTCCCTGCTCCCTCCACTGTCTTCTGGGCTACTGCTGTCACACCCGTCACCACCGCTCCTCCAACATTTGTCACTTGCTCTTTGGTCTTCTCAGCCACTGGTACAAATCAAGAACAACAGATTAAAGGGTGGTAGAGCAACAGTGACTTAAAATCATTCCACTTCCACTAGCCATCGACTTCTATACACCTGTATTTACACATGCCAAAGACAACTGAAGGGTCAGAAGAAACGCAGTAACCAAGATTTCCAAGTCAGTGTGGTTCAACCAAACATTGAATCTTGGCTATTTTTGCTATAATCATGCGGTATTAAAAGTGCTTCAAGGTTAATGATCAGGAATGTAAAGCCATGAGTGATTTGGATTTGCATTATACTAAGGAACGTTTAGAGAAAGCAATGCTTACAGGTACAGTTATAGTTGAACCAGACTCAGCATGAATATTTCTTTATTTCAATTCAGTGTCAATCCTTTGATCTCACCCAGCAAGTTTATTTCCATTACACCTTCTAAGCAACACAATACATACTTCTGAGTTTTTAAATTTTATTATTATTTTTTTGAGAGGAAGTTTCACTCTTGTTGCCCAGGCTGGAGTGCAATGACATAATCTTGGCTCACTGCAACCTCTGCCTTTCAAGTTCAAGCGATTCTCCTGCCTCAGCCTCCTGAGTAGATGGGATTACAGGTGCCCACCACCACATCTGGCTAATTTTTAGAAATATTTTTATTTTTAATAGATACAGCATTTCACCATGTTGGCCAGGCAGGTCTCAAACTCCTGACCTTAGGAGATCCACCCGCCTCAGCCTCCCAAAGTGGTGGGATTACAGGCATGACCCACTGCTCCCAGCCCATACTTATCTATGTGTTCAGACATGGTATTATCACATATGTATGATTAATAGCATAAGAGATGGCTGTGAAGGAACTTGGATCTTTTTATAGAACTTCAGGTAGTGAAACAGAAGTGTTCTGAAAAAGCAAAATTTACAGTAATTTTAATAGGAGCAAAAGAGCTAGAGAGTAGGAAAATGAAGAGGCAATTGAGCACCCTAACAATTTCTTTTCTTAAAAGAAAATGTGATATGGTTATTCCGTAGATTTATTTCAGAAAGTTAATATGTTTTAGAAGACAATGTAAATAATTTGAATTGGGTTTATAAGCAGAAATTTAATTTCATGTCAAAAATTCTCTTGTTCAGTGAAATAAGCCAGAAACAGAAAGGCAAACACCACATGATCTCTCATGTGGAATCTAAAGAAAAAAAGAGTTGATATCATAGAAGCAAAGAGTAGATCAGTGGAGGCAAGTGGAGGATGGGGACAGGTTAGTTATATTCTTCCTTAGGTGCTCATCTAAAAAAAGGAAGGCACATTTTCTTGATATGCTTTGTACTCCCCAGATAAGCCTCAGTCTGAGAGGAGTTACACCATGTCAGCTGTTTAGCGCTAGTCACATGATTACTGCATAGGTTTCAACTCTCCAGTTGAAGAAGCCCATAGTTAAATGGTGTGGACAAAGCAATTTGTTTTCAAATACATTACATATGTCATAGAAGCTAAAGGTCTGTAAGGACAAGAGGCTTTCCCTTTAATTTAGGCAATGTGTGGAAGCCTGACATAGCCACACAGCCCAAGACCAGAAAGGGTCCACAGCAGTGTTGCTCTTTGTCTTTTAGGCTAGAATTTTGTACAATTACCTATTAACTCTGTGCCACTTCTAAGGATATGGCTGATGTCTCCTTAAGATTAAGAGCTATTTACAATTCAAAGTTCGATTTAAATGCCAGTGAAAAGCTGTACTGAAAATTTATGTTTTAAAACATTTCTAAAGTGTTGATCCTTTAAAAGTAGTGAATTATGTGTTTCAAGTTGTCATTTTTTGCCTTTTCAAGGATGTGAATTGAAAATTTTGCTTGAAACGAACATTTTGTTAAAATTTCAAAGCAAGTTAAAAATAGGTTTTGATATTTTTACAGATTCAGCCACAAATTTTAGAATATCTACATAACCTTTTATATATGTATAAATTTTAATCTAGTTTTAATGTAATACACTGCACAGTAAAATATACTCTGCACATTGTTATAATTTCACTGTTTTATTATTATAATTATAAATAAAATAGTTACATTACAAAATGACAGGGTGTACAGATAGCAATAATCGACACATTTAAAAACATTCCTGTAGAACTGATTTCTCTAGTAGGGTCTCCACTGACCTTGAACCTCTATTTTTCCCCCTTAGGGCCTTTCACACTCTTTCTCTGTTCATTGACATTCCAAACAAAGGGTGACAAAACAAAAGGAAAAGAGACACATTTGTATTAGTACATTTTGGGTCTAATAAATAGTATCTATTTTTCAGCAATTGAGTTTTTTGAAATCAGGGATTCTGCTTTATTTTTCTTTATATTATTTCATAGCAGATAAATAATTTAGAATACCCTAAGATGAATTTAGCATCTATCTCTAATGTCTGCATTAATGTAAATAATAGGGTTATATTTCACTTCAGCTAAGTTAAAAATACAATTCCAAAAAGAAAATGTGATACTTTCAGAATAGATACAGTAAAATCTAACCTTTGACATTAAACAAAATTATAGTTTTGAATTGTTATACATGATAGATTTAAAGAAAATAATTTAAAACAACTGACTAAGGAAATTTAAATCATAATGTGTTGAAAATTAGTTTTGTTCATTATGATGTAATAAATTGTATGAATAAATTGTATGTAATTAACGTATGAAGAATCAAAACCTTCAGAAAATCTCCAGTGTTAGAAATTTCTTTATACTATATTTGTACAAAAAACAAGTAACTTTATATCATAGTTTATTTTTAAAATACATTCAAAAACATGTCATTCAGTAAGTTTAATTAAATACATTTTTGTATATTTCTATAATATGATGCATTAAGTTGATAACTGAAATAATTTCCTGAGATCAAATTGCCAGGATTTAAGTTGTTGAATTTTACATTTATATTATCTAATGAGGAGAATTTATTTTCCTTGAACTTTGTAGGCAGAAAGCTCCCAGCTCGTTTACTGAAATCTATATTTCTGCAAAAACAACAAGAACAAAATATGCTAATGGGATGAATTTGAGGGAAATTATTTATTTCTTTAATATTAGCAGATAATATTAGGTACTATGTAACAGTTTCTGGTTTCCCTGCATGAAGACTTGTGACAAGAACAAATAACAGCACTTAATATTACCCATAATAAACATTTACATCAGGCATAATATGCAAATTATTCTCCCTTTCTCTAACCATTGAAGTAATTATCTTTCTTCTCATAATTGGACTGAAGAATTTTACATTAAATAACCCTACTCAAAAAATTAACTCATTTATCTGATGTGGGAGAGGAGTGATAATGATTTATCCCAATGTATTTCTCATAGCCATAGTAGTTATGACAGCATTTTTGGTATTTCACTACTGCCAGGGTGTTCACGGGTGCGATGGCTGTAAACGTGGCCCATGCTGAAATCACCATGTCCTTACTGCTTAGCAACATTTTCTATAGTTTTCTGTGAAACACTAGTTTCATTCAACCCTAGTATCTAATGAAGAAAGGTTTAAATAATCAAAAAGTTTGAAGAGTCCTGATTTAAACTATGTAATGCAAATTTCTTTACTGTAAGACATCTCAGCTTCCTTAATATACTAAAGAGAAAATAAAGCATGTAAAGTCTCCCAACATTGTACCATGTTGGAAACTTAAGTTTGTGTCCTTCAGAAAACATTTTATAAAATGTTGTCTAATTGTACAAACTTCAGTCTCTCTCTCTCTCTTTCACACACACACACACACACACACACACACACACACAGATGTGTTTACATTTTGGCAATCTAGAGAAGACTAAAAATGCAGCCCGTCTCTACTGTCTCCATTAGATCATTAGGTGACGGTAATATTGGGGTTCTTTAATTTTTAACACTGACTCCGAAACATGGCACATGCTTGTCTGCTTTCTAAACCTCATGGGTTCTTTCTCAACTACTAAATGGAACACCATGAATCTAGACTGACCGTCTTCAGATAGTGGAATCTCCAACTCTCTGCTGTCTAGTTCTTATTATAATTGTGCTTCACAGTATCATATTTATAGGAGGTCCCTACAAGGCAACACAGTTCATTTACTTGCCCAGTTTCTGCTGGATTTCAACAGAGCCCATTAAAGGTGCATAATTAGCTTCTAACAGAACCCATTTCAAAGGAGTCTGTTTTATTTTTATACTCTCATTTTTAAATTAAAAGTATTCATTTAAAGAAATATTTTTCTCCACTAGTTGTAAAAATGTTGTGCAAGAAAGTTCACTATAAACCAATAAGTAACTTTTATAAATAGATATTGTTTGCTTTTGTTTTCCAGATGCTTTGTGTACATTAATTCATTGAATTATTTTGTAGGCAAGGAAGCTAAATCACACAGAGGTGAAGAATCTTGCACAAAAAAACACAGATGGTAAGAAGTAAGCAGGAAGTTGAACCAAGAATATCTGACTCCTGTGTTTTTAGTCCTAACCACAACACTGTATTAAGATTCCCATATCATTTTCCCCATCTCCATCTTAGAATTTAGTGATAGGAACATTTTATTTTTATAGGCACTATTGTACTTAATGTTTTCTGATCATATAAATTATATTTCTGCTTATATCTTTTGTTTCACCACACCTATCAGGAAATGTGGAGTACTTGCAACAGGAAACTTAATTACCGCAAGTCTGTGAGCTTTTAATTTGTTAATTTGGTTCTTTGATGTTTTGATTTTCCTATTTCTGGCACTCTCATCCTCCCCTCCTCATGATCTGATGATGATTATCATCATTTTCATCATTTTTGGTATTTCTTGATTGTAAATCTTATTGACTTATTCAAATTCTTGGTAAATTTAGGCCAAATGAATAACATACTCAGAAATATAATAAGTAATTGCACAATAGTATCTGTACAAATAGCTATACTATAATACAAATACAAATACAATAAACAATTTACTGACTGTCCAGTGGTGCTTCCTGTACTCTGAATTATCAAAGGAATATTATAATCAATATAGTTGAACATTTTATTGTAATCAACAGAAATTTTATTCTTTTATTTAAAAAAAATGGCAATATTCACATTTTATTTTGTCAGCAGTTTGTCAATCCATTTTTGGTCAGAATATTTAAATGCCCAATTACTATAAATTAAACATAGAGTATCAATTCAAAGCCATCATTATTCTTGGCAAGTAAGTATATTTTTTATTTATTTATAATCACTATTTACCTATTTTAAAATACTTTATAAAGAATTCAGTTTAAATAAGACTGATATGCTCTTAGAACGCTCAGTGTTTGTTTTACAATTTCATTCTGAATGTTCATCACTGGGCCACACAAATCCTAGATACTTTAAATATCATCTTTGGATATAAGCCCAATGGAGCTTACCTGTTGCCACACCATGCACCACTCCCTCCTTGGTTTTGGAGCCTACAAAAACACACAAATTCAAGACATAAGTCTCAAACTGGTCTTAAATTGCTGATTAGCTAGTTTTCAGTACAACTAATTTAAAAATCTCAATCTTTGAAAGTCTATATATAATTATATCTTCAGGGAAAAAATATATCTATATATCCTAAATCTAAAAGAAGGAACTCCAGTAACCACCACGATAAATAGAAGAAAGCCAAGCTAACAGGAGGTCCTCTCCAATTAAGATTTTAGCTCAAAATAATGATTTTATCCTCCTCTATGTTCCCACATCACATATCAACTTAGAGAGGAGGAAGAAAAATGAGATAACACTGGAGCTCAGTGAGAAGATGATTTTGGATTCAGAACTGTAGGAGCTTTAAAAGTACAGCACAAGAGACAGATTAGTCAACCCATGAAACAAAAGAGGGAGGGAGAGAAGGCTTTAACATGTGCTGAACACCCATTATGTAAAAGGCATTCTTACATATCATCTCATTTAATCTTCATAATATCCATTTAAAATAGGTATATTGTGCCCATTTGATGAAATAAAAAATCCGAGTTAAGTAATTTATCCAACATTACATATGTAATAACAGGCTATAAGCACATTCAAACTAGGGTCTCTATATAAGATAAGAATGTCCTCCAAGCCTTGACCATTACTAAACTTGTATACAAATAATCATTATGTGTATTATTGAAGCTACGCTTGTTAACAATTTTATTTATATCCTCTCTAATGGTGGATTTTTCAGTGTAATTCACTGTGTAATTTGTATATGGAATAGGCATGATTTTTATGTTTTACAGAATTGTCCTACTCCTTTTAAACTTTGGATCAGTTTACAAAATGTTACCATTTGCACGTTAATGTCATGATATATTTCTGATAGTGTATTTAACATAAGGTGTATTTTTCAGCATCACTTCCTCTGGGACACTTTCACTCTTTATCACCTGTTTCCCCATTTATATTGATACCTTCATCTTCAATACATTCCTCTCACTGCCTATCTAGAGTCTCCCGAATTACAGCACTGACAAAGTCCCCAGGGGCGGCTACTTCTTATATAAATCAACTTATGTTTGATTCAAATTTGACTTCCAGCATGTCTCACTTAATTTCTTTGCTGCACTTTCATCTTTGTTGGTCAGTTTCCCCTTTTGATTGCCCATTTTTTGAAACCTCATATAGGCTCACCATTGGGAAACAAAGTGGCCGCACAACTACAGGCAATGCTGCCTGTATGAACTGGGTAACAGAGAAGCAACCAATCATCAAAAAGCTTTGAAAGAAGTGCTGTGGTTTTGTCACTGATTATAAAGGGTTTCTGTTATTTATGTAATGATCTGAAACCCGAAGATTTAGCAGCAAAATTTGCACTTTATGCAATTACTCTCAGTTAGCATACTGTGGTAAGAAAATTTAAATTGTATTGCTAGCGGCTGGAGTTATTTAACTAACCATGGTAACTGGAATTTGTGTGTGCTGGACCTATGCAGAGTGAGAACAGCTGGTATTTAAGAGAATATGTCTCAATTTCTGTCTCTCATGCTCACCCTCTGCACCCCATATTGTCTTAAAAATGACTAGTAGTAAAAATGTCTAACAGCTGGTCTGCAATCTTTCTTCTCTGCCTCAGCCGCACCTAAGAATTTGACCTTTGGTTCAATCATGAAATGTGTTCTGAATCAAAGACAATGAGATAGAAGTAGAGAGTAGAATTAGGATTATTAGAGGCTGACAAGGATAATAGGGAGAGGAGGATATGGAGAGGTTGGTTAAGGAATACAAAATTGCAGCCAAATATGAGGACTAAGTTCTAGTGTTCTATGGTATCGTAGGGTGGTATACTTAACAAAAGTTCATTGCGTATGTTCAAAAATCGAGAACAGAGAATTTTTAATGTTCCCACCACAAAGGAATGGTAAATGTTTTAGGTGATGGATGTGTTAATTACCCTGATTTGATCATCACACATTGTATACATGTATGAAAATATAATTCTGAATCCCACAAATACATGCAATTATTACATCTCCACTAAAAATAAAAGAAAAATTAAAAAGAGAGTAGCATATGACCCAGAAATCCCTCTCCTGGGCATAGATCCACAAGAAGAGATGGCTCTCCGTTTTGGGCCATTATCTATACTCCCAATGGCCCAACATGGTGGCTCTTGCTTGTAATCCCAGTGCTTTGGGAGGCTAAAGCAGGACGATCACTTATAAATATACAAGGAATTTTAAAAATTTCTAAAACTAATATTTATTTAGCATACTATAATTTAAAACATTAAAAATTAAAGTGTTCTATTTATTTCTTTGTGAAAAACTTATCAAGAGTAATTTAAACAGTGCTTGTCTTCTCATTGCATAACTTCCTCTATGGAGTGGGCATGTGTTTTACATTTTACAGAATTGTCATACTCTGTTTTCAATTTGGATTAGCAGTTTGAGACCTGGGCAACAGAGTGAGATGTTATCTCCACAAAAAATTAAAAATTGGCCAGGCATGGTGTGGCATGCCTGTAGTCCCAGCTACTTGGGAGGCTGAGGCAGGAGGAGCTCTTGAGCTCAGAAGTTTGAAACTGCAGTGAGCTATGATCTCACCACTCCATTGCAGCCGGGGTGACAGCAAGAACCTGTCTCTAAAAAAGAAAACACAACAGCCACAACTAAAGTGTTTACCAATAGATAGGTTGATAAAAAGACTGTGGTACATAGATACAATGGAATATCAGTCAGCCCTAAAAGAACAAGATCCTACCATTTACAACATGGATGAACCCAGGCAACATTATGCTAAATGAAATAGGCCAAACACAGAAAAAAGTTACATTATCTCACATATATGTTGAAGCTTGAAGCAAAATTTAAATATACAGAGATAAAGTAAAAAACAGGGTTAATGGGGTGGAAAAGTGTGTAGAAAATAGGAAGACATAGGCCAGAGGATCCAAGCAAGTAGCAAATATGTAGGATGAACAAGTGTATAGATCTAATGTACGAGGACTATAGGTGATAAAATTGTACTATATTTGACAATTCTGTAAAATGTAAAACACATGCTAAGTAAGTAGATTTTAGCTGCCCTTGCCACAAAAACAAACAACAAAGAAAGTAACTATGGGAGATTATGAATATATTAACTTACTTCAATATAGTAATTTTTTAGTATCTAATGTATCCCGTAACATCATGTTGTATACCCTAAATATACACAACAAACTTTACATAGAACAAAAGGGTGTCGCTAAACTACACCATCAGAAATTATACTTATTTTTTATAAACATCTTATGCAACATACTATATATTTTTGTAGTGTAACCCCAAATAAAGAGATACATATATACCTTTAAAAAAGAGAGATAAATGAGAGTCCTTATAAGACTAGTATGTATCAAACCAATAAGCTGTTGTTTGAGGTCATAATTCTTTGCTAGTAATCTGTAATTGATGATTAGCCTTTAATTAATGAGTAATCGGTAACTGATAACATACAGCTACAAAATGGGTGCCAAGTGGTTAGTGCAGTGACACCACAGCTAATGACTTCCCTGAGCGGAGGTGTCCCACACCCACCCTATCTTGTCTGTCCAATCTCAAAAGAGCACAGAGTGGAGAATAAGGTCAGAAGTAATATCTGGGAGTTTGAGGACTCAGCTATCCCAGCTGTGCATGTTATGTTGACTTTGTTAACTTGGTGAAGTGAAGCACATTTTGACTTGAGAATTTGCCATCAATCACACTGATGGCTTCTGCTGCTTATTGAGCAGAGTGGCATTGGAAGAGACTCAAAGATCATCATTTTCTTGCATTTCTTGCATGTTTATTACTTAGCATTATATAAACATAATTAAATCTTTCTCCTTTTGAATTTAAATCTAATTAATAATTTCTGGGTCATTTGGAGAAATTTTTGTCTATTAAATTGAAGTATGTTGACTAAAAATGTGTGTACACAGATAACAAAAACGGAGGAAAAAACCCCACAAAAATAACACTGATCATTAAGTTAGTTCTTCAATGAGTTAAAAAGTAGTTGTTAAAGTATGTTCTTATAAAGGAATGAGATTACTTTTCTTATGAGGCCTCTACCAAACAAACATCTTCGGCCGTAAGTGAATTTATAAAATTGTCTTTGGTTACTTCCAATCTTTCAAACTAGTTATATAATGAAGGACAAAAGGATAAATAGAAAACATGTTGGCAAAGTAAGTATTCCATTGGATAGTTTATTTGATAATAATAACCGTGGCTCCTATATATAACAGTGTGCTCAGTTATTCATATGTCCTATCTTATGACATTCTCACGAAAATCGCAAGGTAGTTGCCATTTTCTAAAACATATTTTTACTAATCAGGGAAGTGATGCTCAGAGCTGTTAAGTAACTTCCTCAAGACCCTAAAGGTAATAAGTGATGTAGCCTCGACTAAAACTTTGGTTTGTGTGACAAGTACATGTTCTTTCCATTCTATCAGTAGTCAGCAAACTATAACCTACAAGACAATTCCAGCCTACCACTGAAGTTTTATTGGAACATAGCCACACTAGTTACTGTTTATGACTACTTTCACAGTTCAACAGCAGAATTGAGATATACTGGCTTTTTATTTGTTTGTTTATTTGTTTGTTGAGACAAGGTCTCACTCTGCCACCCAAGCTGGGGTGCAGTGGCTCAATCTCAGCTTACTGCAACCTCTGCAGTGAGCTGTATGACTCAAGTCATCCTCCCACCTCAGCCTCCTGGGTAGCTGGCAATATAAGTGCATGCTACCACAGCCGGCTAATTTTTGCATTGTTTGTAGACACAGGATTTCACTATGTTGTCCAGGCTGGTCTCTAACCTCTGGGCTCAAGTGATCCACCAGCCTTGGGCTCTCAAAGTGCTGGAATTCGAGCACTGCACCTAACCAAGACACAGATCTCATGGCTTAAAATGTGTGCTATCTGGTTCCTTACCAAAAAATTTTGCCAACCCCTGGATATACTATTCTGTCTCCACATGGTCATTTTTCATTTTAAATTCTGTGTGTAAGTTCAACTTTCAATTAGACCTCAGAATGTAACCAATAAATAATTTATAGAAAGTGCTACGTGTTAAATACCATGAAAGATGTTGAAATGATTTCAATGAACAGTTATAAAAAAATGAAGTCAAAGAAACTAGTACTTGCAGAACTTGGAAATCTGAGGACAAATGGAAAGATACTAAAAAACTGCATGTTACTGAATCAGTATTCCAAATTCCATCTAAAAAGGTAAAATTCACACGTCATAAAAATTTAAAATTAACTCATCAATTTTTTCCTCTTGTAACACTATTCTAATGACTTTCTAAAAATATGTTTTAAGGTAGAAAAAAGTAATTTAACTGGAGATTTGTGGGAAGATTAAGTCAATGTAAAAAAAAATGTCTAAATAATGGGACAGTAGCATATGCTTATAATCCTAGCTACTCAGGAGGCCGAGGTGGGAGCATCACTTGAGCCCAGGAGTTCAAGGCTGCACTGCACTCTAGCCTGGGTGACAGAGCAAGACCCTGACTCTAAAAACTAAAAAAAAAAAAAAATTCTGCTGTGAACTTGGATGAGAGGCATTCATATAAATCATTACAAGTATAAAATTTCCCCCATTGATCTATCTTGAAGAGACAGTGTAGATTTCTTCCGCTTTGCAGACATAGACGGAGGATGTGTTTCAGCTATGCAACCCAATATGCTCATCCTCCACCTGACTATTCAATCCTGTGACTCTTACTGCTATAGTTGCCACCAGAGAATGTGAAAAAGCTCAGAGGAGAAAGAAGAGAGGAAGAATGGGCAATGTGTCTATGTTGAGTGTGTGTGTGTATCTGTGTGTGTATCTATGCCTGTGGATGAGTGTGTGTGTCTATTCTTTTCCAAGGAATTTGAAGTGGTTTGTAAAATAACACTCAGTTTAACACAGTTCAACAGACAGAAAAGAGAATCAGAGTCTGGATATATACCCCTAGGTGGGACTTTAGGAACAAGTAGGTAATAAGCATCAGTTTTATTTATTCTTCTAGTGTGTGTGTCATTTGATGGATGAACTACATAAACGTTTCTGAGATATAAGCAGCGGCCCTCAAACACTCTTCTCTGTCCTCAGTGTTCAGAGACCAAATGATCACATGAAGTAACTCTACCAAAGACTAATCTATTATTTCCATTTTAGGGCCACAAATAGGTCTCTTTATACACATCACAGGGACATATCAAAGTCATATTTTAAAAATCAGAATGGATTAAAATTAACAAACATTATTCATGATGGTAAAATATCAAAGACCCATGAATCATTTTGATGCTTAAGAATATTATTTTTTAAAAGACTACGAGTTTTTAAAACTGTTCTCTGAAATGCAGTCATGTAGGTAGAGAAATATTCATTTTTTAAAAGTTCTAAATATTAGAGGAAAATTAAAAATCTGGAAAAGCAAAGACACATTTTTTAACTATTAGCTCAAATACACACATTCACATTCATCTGCCTACACACACCTCTGACTCAGTCCACCCTTTTGACAGGCAATGATGCAAAAATGAATCAAGAGAGGGAACTACCAGCATTTAGAGTATTGATTATCCTGACCCATCAGTCGTGAACAAACACCAAAGTGACAACTGGGGTTTACCTACCTACATAAAGAACACCCTCTTTTGTCTTTCCTGCTGCCTCTGCCACACCCTGTTTGGTTTTCTCAGCAGCAGCCACGACTCCCTCCTTGGCCTTTGAAAGTCCTTTCATGAATACATCCATGGCTAATGAATTCCTTTACACCACACTGGAGAACATAAAATACACTTTGAATGAGAACTTTTTGAGTGGAAAAAAAAAAAAAAAAAAACACTGAAAAATCATTAGAAACCCTCCAAAGTGTGAGACTCTTTTAAGTGTACACTCATTTAACCACTGGACAAAGCAGACATTTTTAGCTCTGGCATTAAAAATTTAGCATCTCCCATCCATCTTGGCTAGTAAAAGTCTAGCCACCTAACCATGGATTAAGATGAATCCTCTGAGTTATTACTGCATTTCAGAAGTGGAGCTGCAAGAAAAGATTCACCCTTTTTCAACTTCCCGGGGTCTAAAGGGTAACAGTATGAGTTAGAAGCATGGAAGCTGGAAGCTTACGGTCAGGGGCATCCTTAACTTGAATCCCAGAATAAGGCTACCGGGTTGACGATGGAGAGACATGGAGAAGAGAACTAACTACTCACTCTGGGTGTGGTTGAATCTCAGGCAAACAGCGAGCCCAGGGACGCTGGTTTTAATCCACAAGAACATCCACCCCCCGCCCTCAGCTATCTACCCAGAGCAGGCGCCGCTCACACCCGCCGGCGGTCTCCAGGCCCGCGCCAGCCACCTGAGGGGGCGTTCTCAGCCTCCTCCCTAGCGGACCGCGCGCCTGCACTTGTTAACCCTTTACCACCTGTTGACTTGGCCTCCCTGCACTTTCATTTCATTATTTGCCAAACGCAGCTTGCTTACTTTACAGAGAAAAACCGAGAGAGCAGGCAGAGGAATTTCAGGTAAAAGAGAAATAAAAGTTGGATGCTCAGGCTCCATGGAGCATCCTTGCGTTTCCCGGGAAAAGCGGATCCTGGAGAGCGCCTGACCTCTCAGCCCTTGAGGAGAAGGAAATATCGGAAGCAGGAGGAAAGCCAGGTCCAGTCTCTTTCCTTAGGCTCCCCAAAGGACAAGTACTCACCGCCCAGAGACCTGGCACAGCGGATCCTCACCGCAGCACCACCCACTCCCGGCGCCCACGACCACTTCTCTGCCACCCGGCGTTCTCCGGGATTTCCAGAGACACACGTTTAGATCCACAGGTACTTACCAGAGTCCCTCTGCTTCTCCGCAACTCCGATTCCTCCCAACCTCCCTTAAAAAAAAAAATTTAAACAATTCCCAAATAATATTGAATAGGGAAGAGGGAGGGAAAGGAGCGCACAGGAAAGGCGGAGGCGGCACCGGGAGGGGGACGGTCCCCAGAGGAGGCCGCTGTCGGCACAACTCGGCGACGCTAGGCTGGGGGCGTGAGAGGCAAACCCGCTAACCTGTCGTCGAATGGCCACTCCCAGTCCCTCGCTCACGAGGATGAAGAGAAAGGGAGGCTTGAAGGGAAGGCGGGAGGGCGCGCCCAGGACGCTCTCGGCGGGGCCGGGTCGGGGTCTGCGCTGCAGCCCGCACGCACCTCACTCCCGCGTCGCGGCGCTCGGTCGCTCGCCCCCTCTCTCGGGCCCCTTCTGGTCGTCGCTGTCGTCCTCCGCTTCGTCCTCCTCCTGCTTCTCCTCGCCTCTCCGCCCCCAGCGCTGATTTGTCAGCGCCTCTCCCCGCCCCTCTCCCGGCGCTCGCGGTTTCCCTGCCGCGTGCGCTTAGTTCCCATTATCCGATGGGGATGGGGCAGGGGGCGCGGGGTGAACCATCAACTCCAGCCGCCTGCCTGACCGCGCAAGGCGGGAAAGTGGGGGTGCCTTCGCGTCTCACCTCAAGTTCAGGGTCACGGGCACTCTTTTGGCGCTCGCGAGGGGTTGGGCTTGGGTTGATGCCTCTCCCTCTTTCCCATTCCCCTCCCTTCCTGTCCCCGCCTTTCTCCCTAGGTCCTCCCGGGGACCATCCCCTGCCCCGGAGTCGGGGCCCTGAGGGTCGACCACCTAGAACAGAGCCTATCCCTTGGAGGGCTGCTGGAGGAAACAGGCAGCGCAGGGAGGCTGCTCACACGGCACCGCCGAGAGCACTTCGCCCTCGCATCGCTGAAATTTAATCACCGTCTCACGCTACATCGTTAAGGGTCGCTTTAGTTCAAATATCTCCAAGATTTCCGTTTGCTCTTAATCTAGGACGAGCCCGGAAGGGTCCCGCAGGTGAAGCGGAGACTACTAAGGAAGAGTTACAGGTTAAGGAGGCAAGGAGGAGGCTCAGCAAATCCTCTTCCCACCCCACTATCACCATTTTCCTTTCCACCAATCAGCGCCTGCCAGACGCTGATTTTCCCATCAGTGGAACAAGGAATAAATATTCCCCAGCCGTCTAAAACAAGCAGTCCCAAGGCTTTTTGCTCTAGAAATGGGACTTACTTTGCAGACCCAAGTGCTTGGTCTAGGAGGCAAATCCAGCGTGATTTCCCCTACCCGGCCACCATATCCAATTTCTTCTTCAGCCCCTTCTGAAAGGAGGATGCTACAAACCACTCACCTTTCTGACTCCTGATTCTAGTTACCCTCAGAACTGACACCCCCTTTTGTCTCCCCTACCCCCAACACGCACAAAGACACAGACATACAAACGCGAACTTCAAGACAATTTTTGCATCACTTAACACATTTTCACCTCTTTCAAAGCTGAAAGGAAGACAGCTGTTCCTAGATCACACCAGAATGGAGAAGCAAGCTCCTCCCACTAGCGGAAAGCCTTGCTTTCTGTGCCTGGATTCGGAAGATTAGTTAAGCACTGGAAAAGTGGGGGAAACAACAACTCGTTTTTGAAGTATGTTTTTTTAAAAATTGTTTTTATATTTATAGAAAGTAATGTTTTGTCTGATTCTTGCGGTCATTTTGGTTCTGAAATTTGAGTAAAATCAAATTTAAACATAAAAAACAACTTTAAAACCACAAGGAACAGGAAGCAAATGAGTATACATAACAGACATATAGAAGATAACGCATATGTGTTCAGTGGAAAATAGAAGAGCATGAAAGCAAGATCATAGGTATTTATTACTTAAACACTTCCTTGAACTCTTGGTCTGCCCTTTGGAAAAGCAGACTTTCCATAATGCAGCAGCTCATGTTAATATTTGTGTTTGCCTAACATCACAGCAAAAAGGTTGGACTTGGGAGCTAGTATGCTGTCTGGCTTTGAGACCTTGAACAAGTTATGTTCTCCTTTTGTTTCCAGTTTTCTTTTTTGTAAATGAAGGGATGAACTCAGGTGACCGATCCATTCTCAACTTTTTATTATGGAAATATTCAAACACACAGAAGTAGACACAGTGAAGGACTCCCATGTGAATATCACCCAACTTTTACATGTTTTTCAACACACGGCTGATCGTGTCCCATCCATATGTCCACTAACTTTATCAGTACAAATCCTCCCTGTTTTTTTGTCACCAAATTCAAACTTTGCATATATCTTTTCAGCTGTAAACCTTCAGTATGCATCCACAAAATTTAGGAACTGTTTAAAAATAACCACAGTATCATTAGATGATTATTTAAAATTGCAGTATAATTTACACCTAGAGAAATGCTCAGATGTTGTGTCCCTTTAAGTCACTTTGAAAAAGCCATCCATTAGTGTAACCCACACCATTTTGAAGATGCAGGACATTTTCATCACTCCAGACAGTTACCTTATACCCTTCATGTGCATGTTCTAGAATTTCGTAAAAATCTAATCACATAGTATGAACTTTGTTTCATATCTGTGTGACCTCTTTTACTCAGCATAATATTCGTGAGGTTCATTCATGTCGTTGCATGAATCAGTGGTTTGTTTTTTATTGCTTTTTGTTGTTTCTTTGTATTACTGTTAATAGTATATGTTTTCCATTGTGCCTCATTACAGCTAGTACCTCAATAGACTATTACAACAATTATTTAATATATTATTTCATATGACAAACTTATAGTTTAACAGTGACCTCCTTGAGACCTGGTGCTTTAAGTCAAAGAGATAAATAAAATGACAGATATTTCAGGTCTTATTAGCAGACCTATGTTGAGAGAATTATTTTTGGACAGTTGCATTTCTTATAATATTTAACACGATTCCACACTTTTATATGGTAATTTATTAGTCTTTTGACAAAGGACTGATGTACTGTGTTATTCAGTCATAACAGGCAGATAAATTATATTTTATGTAACTGTTATAAATAGAGAACCTGAGCTCCAAGAGTTTTGGTGATAGGCTGAGATCACCTAGCTTTTTTAACTGGCAGAGCTGAGGCAATTTAGCAGAAACTGTTACAGAAAGCACAATTGTCTCTGAATTAGCAGTTTCTGTCTGAAGCCTCATAGATTGGGTGTGGTAAAAGGTGTGAAGGAAAAAGGTAGAACACAAATGTGTTAGAAATAGCCTTCAAATTTGGATGTGACAATGGAAATCAAAAAGAACTTATGTTATTATAAAACAGTTCATTCATATGTAAAGTTTTGCCTTTTCTATATTGGTATTCCTCAATAGGGGAAATGATTTCTCACTACACACAAAAAAAGAAAATTATAAACTAATTTTGTTGTCATTTTGAATTATAACTATATGTTTAACTCTTTTCACTCCTCAAAATGCTTTGAACACAGTAAACATCCAATGAACTTTTAATTGCAAATAATATTGATAGTAATATTGCATATATTCTATATCCATATTCTTAAGGAGGCAAAGTTGCTCAAGTACAAAGAAGGGAACTAGAAGTTAAAATAAATATATATTTTTAAATTTTTCTTTTCATTATTGATGAACAGCATGGTCTTCAGTAAATCTTTAGGTTCTGACTTCATATTTCTTTTTAAACTAATTGAATGGCTTGCACCTCATAAGAAATAGGAAGTCAGAACCTACTTGGAAGCATTACTGCTATGCATATTCTGTTCATAACTACCATATTCATGTTTGGTTTTCTCTTTGCTAAGTGAAATTTAAATATTTTACCACACCTTAATATGATTTTTATCAGGATTTAATTTATTAATTTTGCTATAGATTAACATTCTATGAAATGTATGCTTAACCTAGACTTTGCTTATCCCCATAGAACAACTGAAGTTTTAGGTATGGTATGCAGTGAACTTGTGCTATAGCAAAGACAGCGGAGTAGAATGGCATGAAAATAAAGATGCTGTCCAATAACAAGTGATTAAAGGGAGGAATGATTTAATGTGTTTGAGAGAAGAGAATACAATGAAAATAAAGGTTCTGCCCATTAACGGTGATTAAAGAAAGGAATGATTTAATGTGTTTAAGTGAAGAACATATAATCTTTTTTATCTTTGGATAATATTCCATATTTGTTGGTGAACACAAGAGGTGATGTAACATTGATGCTTGAGCCACCTGCTTCTTACTCCCTATCGGCACCTTCCTGTCACCTTCTGTAAACGTATGAGAGAGATGAGGTAGTGAGATCTCGATAGGCTTCTCCTGTAATTTCATAGTGGGTATAGAGAAAACCTAATGCATACTGTTGGGAGAGCATTGTGTATGATTTTGGAAAGGGGGTGAGCATGAGATGGGGGGATAGGTTTACTCTGAAGAAATATGAAGAGCAATGAAGAAGAAGCAACATGTTCAGATTCTCTAATTTGACTCCATGACCAACTTCATATTGTTTCTATTAGATAACATTTTAAATATTCTTGTGGTTTTGTGGTCCTAAGAATATGAGGGCATGCAAGATTCTAAGATTAAATATGTTAAAGCTAGATAAAAAAGACACTTAAGTATTTCAAAATCTAGCAAGTTCAAATGACTTTAGTATTAGAAAGAAAAAAACACATTAATGAACCTAAGTAATACACTCAACTCTGCAACTCTGGTGAGCATGATATACTTCTAAGAGTTGATATACTAGATACAACCTAAATGCAAGGACTTATCAAAGCTCTACTACTCATTAGCAGTGACTCAGAGCAAGTATCTATAACTTCCGTAATCTCTAGTTTTCTCATTAAAAAATGAGAATGATGCTTTACTTGTCTTGTATGATTGTTAGAAGGAATGAATAATGTGGTTCATAGCAAAGAGCCAGGCATAGTAGCAGCTCTCAGTACAAGTGGATATTGTTATTATCTAGCCTCCATGTTCTTGATGTCCTAGGAAATGCTTTTTGTTTCTTCATTGCAGTAGATTTCCGCCTATTCCTACCCTCCACAGTCTCCCATCCCACCAGCAACATACATGACATATCTGATGCTTTTCATCAATAACTCTGGTAAGTATGGGTAAGCAAAAAGTTTCCAACAATGGATGGAAATTTTGGAGAGATAGAGTGGGAAAGGCCAAGGAACATTGATAGGGATTGTTAATTAAAAATCCACCAAGCATCCCTTTTCTCTCCCTAATGTGTGAGTTACAATAACATCACTCAAAGCAGTTGGCAGCCACAGCTTGAAAAAATACAGTAACAATGACAGAATTAACATTTACTATCTTTATTAACATTTTTACGTTATTAAACCTGATTTATTTCAAAAGACAATGACATAGTCCTGTATGAATTATGTTGATTTGCCAAGCGAAAAAATAAAATGATACAACAAATGGTATTCCAAGTTTG